TGTAGCTTGTTTTGTTTTCATTTGACAATAAGTCATATACATCTCTCCATGCTACTACATGTTCTAAGGCAACATCATTTTGATGGCTTAAGAGCATCGATTTTTTTTTTTGGTTTTGAGTTGGAGTCTCACTCTGTCACCCAGACTAGAGTGCAGTGGCCGCTCCCGGCCACCGAAGCCTCGACCTGCTGGGCTCCGGTGATCCTTCCGCCTCAGTCTTCCAAGTAGCTGGAACTACAGGCACGCGCTACCACGCCCAGCTAATTTTTGATTTATTGTAGAGATGAGGTCTCGTCAAGTTGCCCAGGCGGGTCTCGAACCCGCGGGCTCAGGCAATCCACTCACCTCGGCCTCCCAAAGTGCTGGGATTACAGGCTGAGCCACTGAGTCCGGCAGAGCATCAATTTTTAAGTGTACCAAATTCATTAAAATTTGTGGACATTTACATTTTTGCTATTTTTTCACTATTGAACATCCTTGTAGCTAAAATTTTACATGCATCATTGATTAGATCCTTAAAATAATTTGCCATAAGTAGAATGACTAGATCAAAGAATAGTCACACATTTTAGAGGTTTGATATATACCATCAAATTGCCCCCCAGAAATGTTCTGCCCATCTGCCAGCCCTCCACCTCCAGGAGTATGCGAAAGCACCCAGCTCACTGCACTCGTTGCAATATTAGAGAGGCATAACCAATAGGAGCATGAGGTTGGAATCAGACAGCTCTACCACTTGCTATGTGGCCTTAGGCACTTTAACCACTCTGGGTCTCCATTTTCTTATCTGGGTTGCAATGAAGATCACGTGCGATGCAGAGTGCTAAGCAAAGTGCCTGGCTCCCAGTAAGTGCTCAAAAAACGAAAGCTATTTTATATTGACTTTTTTTTAGGATTGCTAATTCTTTTTTTTACTTTAAATTTTTTATTTTAAAGATGTGGGGTACAATTCAGGGTTAGGTATACAAATATTCTTTATGCAGTTACCCTTGTTGATGAGGTGTGCCCCCCCTTCCTTAGGCAAATTTCCACTACTGCCAATTCCATCTCCCTGCCCCCAACTCTTACCCCCACAGTTTCCCGCTACTGTCAATCCTTTTCTTACAGTATTACGATCTAGATTTACTAATTGTTGCTGTCCATCTCTGATGTATTATTCTCTGGGAATGGATGCAGACTGAGCAAAGGCTTCTGAAATTTCTCTTTTATAGCCAATATCTACTCTATCCTCTGCACCAGCCCTGAAATGCTTACTTCTGCTGCCACTGTGGGAATCTTCAGCTCAGTCTTCCAGCACTAGGTAACCATAATCAGGAAGGATTCTCAGGTTTCACACATTAATTATCATCTTGCTTTTTCCTGGATTGGTTCTGCTGAGTGTTGCAAACTGGTAAAAAAAGAAAAAGAAAAAGAAAAAAAAAACCCAAAGTGGATTTCTAAGCCAAAATGATGTATAATAACAACAGTAACAGCTACCACTTATTGAGTGCTGATTATATACCAGGCACTGTGCTAAGCCTTTTACATGAATTGTCTCATTCAATTTCATCACAGTCTCAAGAAACTCAGAGGTAGGAGAGGACTTGCTCAGTGTCACATAGCTAGGAAGCAGCAGATGTGGGACTGGATCCTAAACCTGTCTGACTTCAAAATCTACATTCTTGGCCGTAGTGGCTCAAGCTTGTAATCTCAGTACTTTGGAAGGCCAAGGCTGGAGGATTGCTTGAGTCTAGGAGTTGGAGACCAGTCTAGGCAGCATAGTGAGACCTTGTCTCTATAAAAAATCCGAAAAATTAGCTGGGCATAGTGAAGTGCACCTGTAGTCCCAGTTACTTGGGAGATTGAGGCAGGAGGATCACTTGAGCCCAGGAATTTGGGGCTGCAGTGAGCCATGATTGTTCCACTGCACTCAGCCTGGGCGACAGAAAGAGACTAACCAAAAAAAAAAAAAATTTTTTTTAAGTTTGTGCTCTTAAACTCTTTCATGCTGCTCTCCTTAATATGGAAAGGTTTGGTGGGGAAGGGTATGTGACTGTATGGATGTGTGTGCTTGTGTTTGTGAATGTGAATGTGTGCATGTTTATAACAGTGCTTGTGTGTAATACTTATACGAGTGTATGTATGTGTGTGTACTTATTAGAATAATATTTAGTCAGGGCCTACTATGTGCCAGGCATTGTGCAAGTTCCTGGGAATACAATGGTCACCAAAGAGAAATGATCTCAGCTCTCTCAAAGCTGAATGATAATGAGGGCCACCAGTGAAAGAATGAATAATGAAATTACAGGATTACTGCTATGAAGGAAATAGACTGTAGTCACAAAAAGTAACAGGATAACAGTAACAGGATAATGGATTGGAGGCTCTGGGAGGACCCTTCTCGAAACGTGACATTTACATTTGTATGTTCAGAAACTAGTCCGGAATAGGAAGTCAGGGCCACCATGCAAAGATAAAGTGGAGGGAAGGTCCTCTGAGGTGGAGGCAAACTCGTCAGTACCTGGATATGCTTTCTAGAGGGTTCTGAGGCTCCCAGAAGTGTATATGGGTGGATATGGGTGATGTCTCTTGGTGTGCTTAGGGGGAATGGCCTGCCAGTTTCAGCCTGAAGGAGTGAAACCATGAACCTGAGAAATGGAGACTAGCACTCTGTGGATAGGCATGGTTAGGACGAAGGGCCTCAGGAATTCTAGAGGCATGGATGGTACTAAGAGGTAGAGTCTAGATATTCAGGGTTGTAGTATGTGGAGTGAAAACCTTTTGTATTCTTGCTGATAGCAAAATCCCAGTCTGCCCCAAGTGTCCCTGAATCAAAATGTTGCTTACCCTCTCTTCATTCATGAATGTAGTTTGGGGTTTGAAAAGGCAACAGTCTCTTCTGGGGCTCCCTCTCTCACTTTCAGAGGTAACTAAGAGGGGGCACTTGAGTAACAAACTATGATAAGGGCTACTTCTAATGGTAGCGGCGCCTTTGAAGCAGGACAGGCTCAGGGTTTAAGATGGCTTCATCCGTCCACAGAGTAGATGGGCATGGTTGCTGGAACAATTGACCCAAGAAGCCTGAGAAAGAGGGCCCACCCATATTCAGAGTTTCCACTCCATGGGCCACTGACACCCAAGCTTGGTCTGGAAAAGTGAGTTTCCCCAGATAACCCAAGACCTGCCAACAGGTTGCTGTGAACTTGGGGTTGGAACACCCTGTGTGTATCCCTACAACTTCCCATTCAAACTGTGCTTTTGGGCACCCAGTGACCACATGGTACCTTGGTCAGTAGCACATCACCCATTCCCTTTAACATTTCAATCAGAAATTCTGGTAAGGAAGCAGTTAAGAGAAATATTCAAAACACTTTGGAGTCCTGCCGTCAGGTTTTAAGCATTCAGTATCTAGATCTTAGTATGAGATCTGTAAAGCCAGTTCAGATGGAAACCACTCAGTTGTCAGGGGCTACGCTTTGTTTCTAATTTGTACTTAGGACATGCAGTACTCTCATTCAATATGAAGCAGGCAGTGATTACACCAAATCAGCTTAATCACTCTACTTGTGCCACATAGTGCCCTGAATTGCTTCTGGCCTGGAGATATCAATTTTCAGAAGTAGCACTCACCCTCAGGAACACATCTGAATATATTGCCTTGCCTTCGGTTTCATCAGAAGAGGCCAACCCTCGCCCATCACTCACTGTGAACAGTGTGGGATGCTGGGCAGAATGTCTGCACCGCGTGGGCTTGAGTTTCTTCTGTTCTTATCATACTTGTTACACGGAGAGCCGCGGTGGTGGGTGGCGGCACTCCAGTAAACACTGTGCCTCTCAGAAGTTTTCTTTTACTTTTTTTAAAACCTTGTACACAATCCAGTCAAATTGAACATTCAAGAGAGCTGGGAGAGGTGTACATGGAGGAAAAGAGGCTGTCGCAGGCAGCCTCTCCAGCAGGCCAATCTTCCTTTGTCTCCACACCTGCCCCTCCCTCCATTATCTTGGTAGATGAAAAACTCCAGGCTTGAATCACCGTCTGGCAGAGCTCTTTCCTTCCTCTCCTCTTGCTTACATCCATCCATGTCATGAGCTATCCTAGACATTTGAGATCTCAGATTCAGCCTCGATCTTAGGCACAATTACAGCAGTGCCATAACTCCATCCCTCTTAACCAATACACATGAACTCTTCAAGAAGAAATGGAGTCACCTCTTGACACAGTGTTCTGCTTTTGCAGAATAAGGTCCAAGCAAACACTTCCCTTCCCATCACTTATCTCTTCTGCTCACTTCCCTACTAGGCTAAATCTGTTTTGGTACCTCGGTCCAGTCTCTTAACATCTCTGTGCCACAGATTCCTCTGGAAAATGGGGTTTCAATCCCTAAAATTGTGCAAGTGACCAGAACAGGTAAGTGATAAACCCTGTATAAAGTTCTGTGAAACCCTCTTATTTGGTATATTTAAAACACTAGCTATAAAATAAAGTTAAACAACAGCAGCAACCAAACATAAATCAAGCACTTTTAGTTCTAGAAAAGTGTCCTTAAGGAGCTAACTGGACCAAGGTGTAAAGATGTCTACACAAAGAAGCTCCTTGCAATGCTGTTAATATAATTGGAAAAATGAAAATTACTCAACTGCCCACAAATAAGACGTGTTAGTCATATTATTGCCTTTTGATGGAGTACTGTAAAGCCCTTTAAAAACTTAGTGTTTGGCTCTGTTCATTGCTATGGGAGGATATTCATGATATTTTAATGAAGCAAAAGCAGCTTGAATAACAAGATGTGTGGTGAAAACAATGCATACATAAATAGAAACAAATCCTAGAGAGAAGTACACCTAAGGAGGATGGTGACTATTTCTGGATAATGTGATTAGGGTGATATTTTTTACCTTTTCCTATTTTCTTCAAGTGAAAAAACATAGTATGCATTCACCTGAAAAATAAAAAATAAGCTACTTCCATTTTGAAAACACTACATAAACACTTAACTGTCTTCTAAATCTTTCCGTCTCAGATAGTGACACGCCTCCAAACCAGTGGCGTTTCTCTTCTCCAAGGACGAAGCCACAGCCAGAAGTATCTCCTGCAAACCATGCCACCAACTGCAACTTAAATGTACCTGGTCCCTTAGCTGTGGATCTGATCCCACCGTCCCCTCAGCCTGTGGAGGAGCTGTGGCATTTCTCCTCCCTAGCCAGTCCCAGCTCCCCAGAGCCTGGCTACTCTCAGGTCTTCCCTGAGGATCAACTGGGTCCAGAGCCCCAGCCTGATGAGAAATGTGAGCCCCTCCTAAGTTTCCTCCAGGAAGACGGAGGCCTAGGCTGTCCTCAGGAATCTGCCACAAAGGAAGATTACAATCCTGTTCAGGCAGCCGGAAGCACGGGATTACTCCTCAACCTGCCTTCCAGCTCAGCCCACTGTAAGGAAATCCCTATTGTTATTTGGGGTATTGCCTCTGATTGGATGTGGTTGAGAGTGAATCGGCATGAGATGGGGTGCCAAGACCAATTGCTGCCACTCTGGACATGGGGCTGCTGAGCAATGGAATGTTCGGCTTAAATGTTCCATATATCCTCATTAGGTAGGATTCATTGACATTCACAGTGTAATGGTTAAAGGGCCACATAGATAGCCAGGCAGATGGAGTGGGCCCAAAGAATTCACCCTACTCTGTCAACTTGGTCTTACCTTAGGAAAATGATGGTCTGCTGCCTAAAATCATGAGGTCCTGCATTTACCTTGTTGGGAGCAACTAAATAATCTATTTGCAAAACAGAATTCTGTGACATACCTATAGGCTCAAACTCTAGTCTCCAAAGGGTTGGCAACTTTCAATGATGCTGGGCTCTTGGGCAAAAAACAAGGGCAATCTATCCCAACCATCTGCTCCACACATTAAAATTCAAAGCGACTGTGGAGGCAGCCGCATTGCTGCCTGGAGACGTAACTGTGCCTGGCTGTCGTTGGTTGGCTCCTGCACACTGGGCTCCTCCCATTTGGTTTCCCTTGGCTTCCCTTCCCCCACCAGACCTCCTCCTGAACTAAAAATACCCTTAAGGCTTGCTCACTTCTTCATTCACTCACTCTCCCAGGAAAGATTTAATTAGTGCCTACTAGATGCAAAATACCAGAAAACAAGGCTCCCTTCTTTGTAAAAAGATGGCGAAGAAATGGCTTGAGGTATAAACTTTTACCAAAAGAGCAACCTGCCCTGCTGTAAGATTTGCCTTTCATATGAAACACTTAGAATACTATATATTTTGTAGTTTCATGGGATCAAGTCTGCATCCTCTGACATTCTGTACTCTGGATGAATGTTCCTTTGCAGCTTCCTGGTCCACACATATCTGTGGTTCCAGCCTTCCATGCCTGGAAGAAATGACTGGAAGTGATCTTTACTTTGACCTAAGCATGTAGTACACAAAAGGCCTGTTCAGCACAGTCTACCTAAGTCAGGCACTGTGGTTCCATTGTAATGTCGAAAACACATTTCTCATTAAAATACCACTCTGTCAGTTCCAGAGTTTGATTAGGAATGTGCTTAAAGAGTAAATCATAAAAATGTCATGCTTGGGAAAACTGTGAAAATTCCCACCCCATACTCTTTTTTATTTCTTTTTTTCAAAAATCTTCTCCTGAATTCAGAGGGATAATTAGGCCAACTGTGCTTGTATATATGCCTGTACGTACACACAGCAGAGCCCTGTTTCAACAGTTGGTTAGAACACAGATGGCTGAAATCATCACCTTCCAAACATAACAATTCTATGCAGCTCAAATCCAGTTCAGCAAAGATTTAGTAAGCATCTACTACAAGCCTGGTGCATCATGACAGAATTATAAAGCAGGCATTGTCTTATTCCTGAAACCTCTAGACACCTTCACAAACAAACGTTTATCACCAAAGTCTTGACTGCTGTGAACTTTTCACTCTCTCCTACTAATGTTGACATCAGTGTATTAATCGGTGATTGATGTTTAGGATCTGTTGTGGAAGTTGGTGACTATTAATCAGAACACTGCCTGGCAGATGGGAACAAGGTCCAAGGGGCCTTAAAAACAGAAGTTTCCCTTTTTGTAGCATCTGATAAAAGATGTTAGGTAGTCATAAACCGAGGGCTAAACAATGTGGGGCCTCTAGGGTGTTCTAATCCAGCCCCAGAGATTGCATTTCCAAACATGTTTTCTTCTTCTTTTCTAGATAAGAAAGTACATGTCTCCCCTGAGCGCGGACCTGCCGGTACCAGCCTTGCACGTGAAAGTAGGTATCTGGGACAGCCTCTGCTAGTGTGTTTCTGTATCCTGAGAACAAACTACAGAAGCTTATAGTGTAAACACCAGGTTCTCCAGCAGCGGGCTATTCTATTATTCAGTATTTTCATAGATAGGAGTTATTTCATCTTAGCCTCAAAGATGAGCCCATGCACCCTATATCTTATAAAAATTTCTCAAACATTTTCTTGTTTTGCTATAGAAGTAACTCTCCTGAGTTTGTTTTTTTTTTAACCTGAGCAGGATTTAACTGAGGTAACCAAGGTAACCCAGAAAAATGAAAAATTTCATGAAGGTTATGTTGCTCTGTTCCAGATGTTCAGTTTTTAGCCTAGCACAGGTTGCCACACTCAATTGAAAGTGGCATTAGTAGGAACTTCCAAAAGAGGACAATCTGGGTTTAATGATGGCGGTAGGGGGCTGGGGGGTTGGGGGGGGAGTCTTCACACCCTGGGCTTGGAGTTTGAATCCTTGCTTCATTATTTACTAGCTTAAGGCACTTGGCCATATTTCTTAACCACTCCATGCCTTAGTTGCTTTACTTGTCAGATGATTATAAAAATAGTGCCCACTTCATAGAGAGAGGTGTGAAGTTTAAATGAAATAATACACATAAATGCTTAGAATAATGTCCGACACATAGTAAGCCATCAAGAAGTCTGGGTGTTTGTTGGAGGGCATCTGGTGTGCCCTAAGCTGTGCTCTTTGTTAAAGAGAGGGCCAAAAGGAAGAACCACCATCACAGCCTCTGATCTCAGGTATTTGACAGTCTAGTGTGAAGTGGGTGTGAAGGCAATCTACAGACCTCACTAGAATGTCAGGTCCATGAGGGCTGAGACTTTGAGGGGTATACCTTTGTATCCTCAGCACCTGGCACACAGGTTCATATATATTTGTTGAATAAGCGAATTAATGGGTGAATACTGTTTACAATAAAAGAGCATTTAACAAAGGATGAATAAGAAAATATCTGCAAATATAGTAAAAATTATTCTGTTTTAGATCCTTGTATAAGACAACAAGCAAACAAAACAAAAACCAACCTCAGTGATTAATCGGCCATGCTTAAGTGAGGTGATACATTTAGGACTTGTTTAAAAGCCTTAGCAAGGTGGAGCCAGGCTTCATATAAGCCCTTTCATATGGGAATGAGCTCTGCTGGCTTTCTATGTTGGGATTGTGATATCTCCTAAGTACTTGTTAATAATTTCTACATTTGCTTATGGTGAGTCTTGGAATTACTGATAAATCTATGCTTTAATCTGTTCATAGACCAAAAATAATAGCAACAACGTTTATTGGGTGTTGACTATGAGCCAGATACTACATACCTTATCCTATTCAGTCCTCACAATGACCTCGTGATGTGAATATTCAATAGTGATTGGAATGAACGAATGTCCCCATTTTATAGATGAAGAAATGGAGTCTCAAAGAGGTCAAAGAGATGCCTTAAGTCTTAAAGATGTGCCTTAAGATCACACAGCAGCAAGTGGCAGATGTAGTTATTATCTCTTTGCTCTCAGTATCATAAAATCATCAAAAAACAATTCCACTTAAATCAAGTGTACAGCAGTGAAAATCAGCGACTGGTGAGATTATATCACTGTACCCTGGGTTTACTGTCTATCTGTGGCCAGGACACTATTCTAGAATAAATGGAGAGTGATGCAGAAGGTTCAGAAAGCAAGAAAAAGAGCAATATTACCTTGAGAAAGAGCTGAGGGGATGATCTCCCCTTGCAGAGAGTACTTAAGGGGAAGTGGGGAATGGGTACCTGGCTATGCCAACAAGCCTGAGTCTGCCATTCAACCCCTGTGGCTTTGGGAAGAGGGAAGAAGCAGGGAGCTGGGAGTGAAGAGGGGGCACTTCCTAGAGCTCCAAGTGAAAGGACTGCAGAACCCAGTAAAGCCTATGCTCTTAAGCATGACACTAGTCTCCCAATCTTGTCTGATGGTGAGAACAACTCGGGAAGCTTGTTATCTGCCCAGATCTGCACCCCCCACTTCTTGGATGGGTAGATTTAGCATGGGACTCAGTTATCTCTTCAAATGTTTTATTCTTTATATAATTTCTATGGCTCTCATTTCGAAGTGAACTGTATGAACCTTTCAGTGGGAATTTCGGTAGTTCTGAAAGATTTTATATGTGATGCCCCAGATAAATATTTGTCGAAGGAAGGAAGGCAGAATCTCCCCCATCCCTCCAGATGGACCTAGTCCCCTCATGTAAGCTGTGATACACCTATAAGGTAGGAGTCATTTGGAGCAGAAGAGCAGTCAGAGCCAGAAGGGTGGTCAGAGAGCATGTGGAGAAAGGCATTGTGGAGGCGAGTCCTACAAACACTAGTGCCAATAGTTTTAGTAAATGGGATTTTTTTGGGGGGGTCTGTAGAAATAGACACTTGTTATACATTGCTTCAATGTACACAGCTAATAACAGTTGATATTGCTAAAAGGCAGACACAGTGCTCTAACTTATATTGGAGGTATAACAGTGAATAAAAGTGTCTTTGTCCCTGCCTTCATGGAGAAAATAATTTAGTGGGGACAAATTCCCTCAAAAGGAAAAAAAACCCAAATATTTGCAAATTATGATAAATGCCGTGAAGAAAATACACAAGGTGTTGAAATAGGGGAAGATAGGAGCAAACTTCAGACAAAGTGGCCAAAGGAGGCTTTTCTGAGGAAGTGATGTGTGAGCAGAGACATGAATGAAGAGAGCAAGTTTTGGGAGGAGTTAGGGTAGAGATGGAGGGAGGTGGAGGAAGCTGCCCTTCCAAAGGCCTGAGGTGTGTGTGAAGAATGAAAGAAAAAAAAAGAACAGTGTGATGGGAGTGCAATGAGAAAGGAGAAGAGTATGGGATGACATGAGGCTAGAGAGGTAAGCAGGTGCCAGGTGGCACAGGGCCTTATGGGTCATGTTAGGAGTTTAGATTTCATACCCTGAGTGACTTGATGAGCCATGGAAGGATTTTAGGTGTGATCCCATTTGCATCTGATAAAGTCACAAAATTATCGTGAGAGGATAGATTGGAGAAAAGTGAGAATGAAAACAGAGGCCAGTTAGGAGGCAGGAAGCATGAAAGAATGGAAGCCTCGATTGGAAGGCAACAGCAGATAGATAGAAGTGGATGTGTTGGAAATCTATTTGGGAGGGTTAGCTCTGGGGCTTGCTAATGTGTTGGATGAGAATGGTGAAGAAAGGGCAAAGATTCAAATGAGCTAATTAGCTCCTAGGTTTCCTGTTTGAGCAACAGTGCGCTGGTGGTATGTGTCCAAATGAGGAAGACTGTAGGAGAACACAACTCTTTTTTGGCTGTGCTAAATCTAAGGTGCTAAAAGACATCCAAGTGGATATACCTTTTAAACGGCTGTATATTTTTTCTTGTTTTTTTTATTTATTTTATTTTTAAAAAAAATTATTTTAAAGATGTGGGGTACAATTCAGAGTTAAGTATACAGATGTTCATTATGCAGGTACCCTTGTTGATGAGGTGTGCCAACCCTCCTCTGGCAGTTTCCCTCAACTACCAGTCCCACCCCCCACCCCCAACAGGTTCCCACTACTGCCAATCCCTTTCTTACAGTACTATGATATTTGTTCAAGGTCCGCTTATGAGTGAGAACATATGGTGCTCTGCTCTTTGTTTCTGTGATATATCATTCAGTATTATAGACTCTAAGTCCATCCAAGTTGCTAAACAGCTGTATATGTTAAGTATGAAACTCAGAAAAAAGCCTGGGTAAATATTTGGGATTTATTAGTATTATATATAAATGGTGTTTAAGGCCACTGGATGTGATCACCTAAGCAGAAGTTTATGTATAGAAGAGAGGAGGACAGAGGACAGAGGCCTGGAGAATACCAATATTTAGAGACTGGAAACATGGAGACCCAAGAGAAGAGATTGAAAAGGAGCAGTCAGTGTGGTAAGAAGAGAATAAGAATAGTATGGTATATAACAGAAACTGGAAGAGAAGAATGTTTCAAAACAGAGAGAGTGATCAACTGTCAAAGGCTACCAAGAGGTCAAATAAGAGGACAGAGAAATTTCTGTTGGATGTGGCACCAGAGATTTTGTTAACCTTGTTAAGATTAACAAGTTTTCATTATGTGATGTGGACAGGAACCAGATTGGAGTGGGTTGAAGAGTGAACGGGAGATGAGAAAATTGAGACAGTACGTGCCATCAGCATCTCAGAGAAAGTTAACATTGAAGGGGTGAAGAGACAGAGTGGACAGCTAAATAGACTAGTGGGGTTTGAGAAGGTCTTTTCTTTTTTTTACATCCATTGAGAGATTTATAATTTATTCATTTGTCCAAATATTTTCTGGTACTTGGGTTATATAAATCATAAATAGGCCTTATTTTCTTCCTGCAATTTGTTAATAAGAAATTTTTGTGATGGAGTAGCAAAAACAGAACCAACCCAGATGCCCATTGAAAGCGGGCTGGATAAAGAAAATGTGGTACATATACACGATGGAATATTATGCAGCCATAAAAAAAAGAACAAAATCATGAACTTCGCAGTAACTTGGATGCAACTAGAGACCATCATACTAAATGAATTATCACAGAAACAAACAACAGAATACCCATGTTGTCACTCATAAGCGGGCCCTGATCACTGGTCATGCTAGCACAAGGATGGGATCGGCAGATGATGGTCATTGCTGGGTAGGGGAGAGGGTGAGTATAGATGCCTAAAGATTCTAAGCAGCGTGTTTATATTTCTTTAAATATCAGCTTTATAAATAACTATCGACTTGAGTCTGTTTCTTTTTTTCATAATTTATTTATTTATTTTTTGAGTTGGAGTCTCACTCTGTCACCCAGAATGGAGTGCAGTGGCTGCTCCCGGCCACTGCAGCCTTGACCTGCTGGGCTCCAGCGATTCTTCTGCCTCACTCTTCCAAGTAGCTGGAACTACAGGCGCGCGCTACCATACCCAGCTAATTTTTAAAAATTTTATTGTAGAGATG